TGTAAACAATGCCGATCTTTTGGAGAGGTAAGCCAAATCCTCACTTTTTTCAAAAATTTTGGAAGACCGACAAAGAAAAACAAGAGGAGGTAAAAAAGGTACTACTTAACCAAGTAAAGGAGTGCAGCTTCAAAAAAACACAAGATTTGTTGTTTCCCCTGTGTTCTTCTTTGAAGTAACAGCTAGATAGCTTCGTCGACGGAAATGGGGGCCAACCCCAAACACCACCAAGATTTTTCATACAAGGGCACTGCCTGCTAGTTATCTTGTATAATAACGCTCTTGGCTTGCATGCCAAATGTCAACTAATAGAGGAGTCCCGCTAGCAGTTATGTTAACCTCTTAACAAACCACTTCATAGCCACATCTCTTCAACAAAAATTTTGTTTTTTTTATTTAGTCAGATTTTTGGTTTAAATGATCGTTGGGAAGAGTTGTGTTAATGTTCACGTATTTGATTTGTGCCAACAACCTTATCACCTATAGTATAATTAAAAATTAATATTTAATAATATACATGTTATACTATATTTAATTTAATTTACCTTCAATACAATATTCTTTAAAAAATGATTGCAATTTATTAATTTTTTTCTAGTAGGATATTAGCTTTAGCAAATGCTTTGGCCAATGCTATATTAATATTTTGTTTATTATATTACTTGAAGACACTTCTATAATACTTTTTTTATTTTTATATAATGCCGAATTAAAATAATTGTGTCGATTACAGATTTTCTGGCATGATTAACATAAAAATCTTCTTTATAGTTATTTGAGTTTATATGTTCTAAAGTAGTAAATTTGGTTTTTCCTATCATTAAAAATTAAAGAAAAAAATTATAACATTCTAAATACTTAAATATTGATATTTTAATAATTACTAATAGACCTGTGGGTCAATAACATAGCGGTTATACTCCCAGGTTGCAAATCGGATAGTTGCTGGTTCAATTCCTCCCAACAGTGGATTAATGAAAATTCAAAAATGGAAGTAAAACACCGTGAGGTACAGGGAACTCAGGATATCTACGGATAGACGTATTTAGAGAATAGTTATTCTGAGAAGTTGTGGCTGTGAAGCGAGGCATGTTAGAACTCTGATTTGAAATAACTGAAATTATGAGACGTAATGTGAGGCTAAAGTTTGATAAAGATACTACAAAAACTCATGGTGATACCGGATTGGCTGGTGAAATTCCAGTACAATAGAAAGGTAATTCGACCTCTCCAGAGTGTTGTGCAGATGGTCAAATCTAGGCTCCAATGTGGGAACCGGAAAATATCGGGCAACGGATTTCCAGATGGATATATATAATATCCATATGGGGGTTATGGAGGTCCTGTGACACTAAGTAGCATGCGTACTAGAGTCAACTATATAATAGCTGGGACCAAAATTATGGCGAGACTTGCTAAAGAATTAAAAAAATAATAATAATAATAATAATTACTAATGTTCAAAATTTTATTCAATAATTTGATATCAGTGATATCATAATGATTACATAACAATTACAACAAAGATGATCATGTGATCACAAATCACTATTGTGATAATTACATATAGTGCAAATATTATTCACTTAAAATTCGTCGCATAATGCAGCATAAACCACCTAAATATAGTAAAAATTGGTCGCATTTTATGTGTCTATTATGTGATCGCATCTGTCCGTGGTTTCTACCACCGGTTACAAGCACATTTTTTCAATTTATTTTTATTTAAATTCTATAAGACTATAAATTAAAATAAAAAAATTTTGACTAAATTTGAATAGCAGGTTGTCAAGAAATATTTATTAAAAGTTAAAAAAAAGTTTAACTATAGCTTTTTTTTTTTTATGATATCTAAACTTTGAACAAAGATTACACAATTATAATTGATTACAATTATTATGCCAGTGCGATTTTGAGTTGAAAAGCAGTATAAAAAATTCGATATGCGCATTTTCGGATCGCATATGAAATTTCCTTATTTTATTATGAAGTAAGCATATAACATATGAATGCGCACATGCTTTTAAACTGAACTTTTACACTGTTGAAAATCAAAAAAGATACTTTGAACAATGGCAGTAAATGGCGGGAAATGAGTAGGTATTTGTTTTCTGTATTTAGTATCATATATTTATATTCATAGCCAAGTTACCTATAATGCAATAGTACTTGAATATTAGGACAATAATGTAGTATTTATGACACGTAAAGGCTTAATCGTTAAATGACCAGAATGTTAATGAATAGAGAAGACGTTTGTATAAAAAAAATATGCTTTTGTACTTACATAAGGTGAGGTAGAGTATTATGTAATATGACGCACTTGTGTTTTTTGATGTTAAACTGCGATGCACCGATCAGAATCGAAAAATTTTAGTACCATTCGATTCGTCATGCTGAGATAAAATTTTTTTTTGATTCTAATTGCTAAAACAAGATAGAAGTAAAAGTCGATATTTCTTATGACAATATTAAATTTTTCTAATTTTTCCTCATTTGGGTAATTGCCCAGAGGAAGGATGCAGTAATACAATACGAAACATATAGTGAAACATAGCGCGTCATAATACCCCCAAATGTAAAAAAACATAGCATTTTTTGAGTAGATATTGAAAGCTCATATTTCAACCTTTTTTTTTTAAGTCGATTTTTTTTTTTATAATTAGTTAGTAAATCGATTGTTATTTTATTTCGCTAAATTTTGTAAATGAATATGCTTTTCCTAAAAATTTTTATATGAGCAACTCTTAAGTGCGTCATAATACCCTACCTCACCTTAGATACTTGCACATGTAATAATAATTTAAAACAATTAAAAATATACCCTCATATTTTGATGTATAAGAAAAGATACTTAAGAAAATGGTAACCGGCGCATAAATTACCGGGAAATGTGCCGCAGCTAAATGATTTCCGTTCCCTGATTGGAGAAGATTATTTAGCTGCGGCTGTAGCGTCCATCATGTGACAGTACTTTGGGGGCTTCTTACGTGCTATGTGATCCGTAGCCTTAAGTCCAATACTTTTTTTTAGCCTTTAGCCTTAAGTCCAATTGGACCAAATCCAACAGTTTATATGTCCAAATGACAACACTGAATTAATGTAGGGTTAATACCCGAATCCGGATTTATGTTTTTGAACGGCACTACAATTTCAACACATCTAAAATTAAGGATTCGCTTGAATTCATGTCTGTTCTTGCCAACAACCAACAGATCTTAAAGAATATGGTTCTGAATATAAGCTTTTATAATAAATATATTACGCAAGGAGCGATAATAAAAAAAAAGCTCGATATGAACAAGAATTTATTGACTGAACTAAATTCCAAACAACAAAGTTTTTAATATTTGTCATAGTAAAAATCTATAAAAGTAATTTTATTTTAGAGTTCCAATCCATTAAACATTATCAGATATCCGGATCTTGAATTTATTCGGATATCCCATTTACTATTGATATTCGGATAATTATCCGAATACCTGTCAGATTATCCGGATATCTGGATAATTAGATACGGATAAACGGATGATGGATTTATCCGGATTGGAACTCTATTTTATTTTATATATTATGTAATATAAATCAGAATGAATTTTTAGAAAATAAACCAAAAAACAAATCAATATGAATCAGATGAAAATATTGAAATGGTTGATCTAACAACTAAGGAATCTTTAGCTTGTTCGTCTATAGTAAACATTTTAAGAATGTCTAGCTTGTCTGAAGTAACTACTGTTGAATCTGAAATATAATATAATATCCAACTTGAATCTGAAATATAATATAATATAATATCCAACTTATCTGAAACGCAAAAATAAAATAGTGATATCGATATACTGTACATTATCTCTGTCAATCAGAAACTTATCGAATCGGCCAAACAATCATTTTTATTAGATGTTCCAGCTGTAAATCCGGATTAATAGTTAAATCTTTCGTTATCGTTATTAATAATTAAATCCGGATTTACTGATTTATGTACGTCATATCAATATACTATACGTATACTGTAAATAATCAAGTCTAGATCCTGATATACCCGGCAATATTCTTTAACCGAATCTTAAAAAGATTAAAACTATCACTAAAACTTTATGTATAATATAAGAAACTTTTTGCACAATTACGATTTTAAGATTTTGGTTATTAAGGCCAATTCATAACGCACACATCTTTTAACTAAAGTATATATTGCAAAACAAAAGAGAAGATTTCCGCTAATGTAATAGTTAAAATGTTTGATTAATTAATTTTTTTAGCTACACTACAGCAATTGTTCATTACCAGTTATTATTGCTGCACCTTACATAATTTTGGCTTCAATGTGATGTGCATTCTTGTCAACGTAACCAATCACATAATCCCAAATTTAATAATCATTAAATCCAGATTCAGGTATAACTCTATATTGATGTATATTTATTTCATTTAGGCTGTTCAAAATTCTACAAATTCTTCGATGCATTTGCTGAATTTACAGAATTTACGGAATTTAAATGTCCGCAATTAACTATATTTAACTATTATAAACCCGATTAATGAATAGAGACGAACGAGCTGGTAACATCTCTACTAATGGCTTATTGTTGACCGATCTAAACTTAGGCGGCATCCATAATTTACAATAAACCAGTTACTGTATTGTATAATACCAAATGATATTGGTTTAACGTAAATTATGGATGCCGCCTTATTATTAAAACATAATAATAAGAACCTCCTTCAAATTTTTGGGCCAAAATTGGGGGTTGCTTTTATTCGGCATCATTATGTGCGGAAAATAACGGATCGAAATTCCAGAATTCTGGTCACCTTAATTTCATTTAAAAGCTAAAAAAATCGATTTGCAATTTCAGAATTTGCCGTTTTTCTTTTTACAAATTGAAATTCTAAAAAAAAATGAGTCAACAACCGGTCTTAGGAACTATACATCATTTTTATATTTGCGTTTCTGATTACAAAAAAAGCATTGAATTTTATGATTCTTTTCTTCCTAAACTCGGTATGTAAAAGATTTATGAAAATTATTTTCTCACAACAATATGTCATTAATCTAATTTTTATATAGGCTACAAGATGCTTAGAAATACCGACAAATATACTGGTTGGGTGAACTCATCTTTAGGTCAATTTGGTATTGCACAAGCAAGAGAAGAACATAAAGATATTAAGCATACCAGAAATGCAGTTGGATATCATCATTTGGCTTGGAATGCTACTTCTAAAGAAGAAGTTGATAAGTTTTATGAACTTTTGGTTGAAAAAAATTACAAAATTCTGGATGCTCCAAAGGACTATAATTATGCACCTGTCTATTACGCTGGTATGCCTATTTTATTTTTATTATTTATTTTTATTATTTATTATATAAATCTTATCATTAATTTCAATGTCATTTTCATTTTTCTCTTTTTAAAGTCTTTTGGGAAGATCCGGATGGTTTTAAACTTGAGCTTTGTTATGTTCCATTTCCTTATGAGAGTGAAAATAAGCAAGAATGAAAATAGGTTTTTTGCAATGTAGTTTTTCGTTTTAAACCAAAATTTCTACATGTACTAAACGTGTTAGTGCTACCAATCAGCAAAGGCTAATAAAAATCTGATTTTATATGTTAAAAATATTATTGCCTTGATCTTTTTTGGTTTTTATCAAATAATAAAGTTTATATACAAATCACAATTTTTTGATGAAAATTTTATTATAAAAATTTAAGTTTGTAAAAAATATTTTTAAGTATGATTTTTTTACTAATCTTAATTTTTTTTAATATTAACACGTATATAAAGCTAAAATTCACGTAGATAATAATTATTTAATATTATAATTTCAATTTTTGAAATAAAATAATCCGCACTGTGAAGGAATTGGATTATTGGCTCGAATTACAACAGCTTTATAATCATTGGGATCTTTAAAAATTTTTTTTTTAATAATTAACAATACATCTCTGAAAAATTTTTTCTTTTATTGAACATCTTACCTGCATAATTCACTTTAAGCCCACTCTATGCTAATAAACTATGATTTATCATTCCACGCAGTCGGTAAAATAAGACCATTGAACGAAGTTGTCTCACCCATTCGCCAAATTTCTATTCAGGTCTTTTGTCTAGACAAAAGCAATTTATTTTAGATGAATTGTTGTGTTGTCAGCAAAATGTATCGGAGATCGAATGAAAGCAAATCGGGAACCAATCGGCATCACGTAATCCCGATATAAAATTGATTTGAATAGATATTTGGCGCAAATAGGAGACCTTTAAGATACAAATCGGGTTCATATAGGCAATCAATACATATCGAAATGCCGATAGCTCTATAGGTAAATTAAAAAAGCTAAGGTAAGGCAAGCATTATCGATTTACCTATAGAGCTATCGGCATTCCGATATGTATTGAACGCCTATACTGTATGAATCAGATTTGTCTCTTATCCGATTTGCCTTCATTTGACTGATAATCAAGATTGTCTTATTTGCAAATTAAGCCTTTTTTGGCCATGCCCAATTTAAATCGCTGAGACAGAGACAGTGCTTCGGCAATTTACGGAGTTCGGACTTTAAAGTTTCATATTTGGGAAATGTCTTTTTGACATGTCCAATTTATTGAAATCACTGCAACACAGATTGATTTTTGCAAGTTCAATTTACGGAGTTAAAACTATAGAGTATGAACTTAGTTATTCATATTGAAAATGTTCTTTTTGGAATGTGTCCAGCTTACGGAATCGCTGCGACACAGATGCATTTTTGAAAATAATATGAAAAACTTTGAATATTCTTTTTTTAGCAAAAGAAATCGCTTTTTTTTCAATGAATTATATTGATTGGTTGCAACAAGTTTTGAAAGCTTTTCTTTTGTGAATACACGTTTTTTCTTTAAGTACTGTAACTAGAAAAATTGTGTTTCTTTACACGGTTATTCAAAATTTGAGTTTACTGTATAATCAGTAGATTAGATCATTTCAAACAAACTAGGTTCCAGTGTTAAAATTTGGCACAAATATGCTGTGCAAAGAATTTTTTTAATACAGGAATGTGATTTTATTTTTTGCGCGTACTGCACAGTAATTGTTAATTATTGTGCAAAATGCAATACATGCACAACGAATTTTTAACACAGCTAGGATCATAAAAAAATGTTAGCGTTGTATGTGAATACAATACTATCGCGTCAGGTAGTCGATCAAAATAGCTGAATTGTAGTTTAATAGAAAATCTGGTTGCAATATTCAACGACTATGATATTTAGTTTACTTTATTTCTAATTAAACTCAATCTAATAATGCTAGCAAATGAATACAGACGAAACATTTAAGACCTCCAACTCAAAAAACCCTGCCCTGTTTTATTAAAAATAAATAAATAAATAAAATCAAATTTTTTATATTAACATGAGACAGGAGCGATATTGGATAAAGACGTGATGGCTTATAAAATTATTCAACCTATTTGCGTGTAATAGTGGGCCGGGGTGTTAATTCGAATTTCGACTTTTTAAAAAATTTAGCTATTTGTAATAAAAATACCCCGTGATCTTGATATAGTGATCGGGGTGTTTTGCTCAAAATATCGCTGAAATAACGCGTACCCACCTTTAATGCTTTAAAATTTAATAAATGCTTCGAACTGAAAATGCCAAATTTAACTCTCAACCATGACAAAAGTAGAAAATATTTATATTTAACATATTTAACATATTATGTTTTTATCAATCATGCCAATACTTTATTAGGCTCAAGTACTAATTCTATTTCATATCTATTTCATAAAAGTATCATTTGAATGGACCTAAGCTATAAGTATTAACTTACCTGGCTCTTTGTGACAAGTATCCAAATTGCCCATGTTCGATTTTCTATAGTAAAATTTTCCTCTATACTAAATTCTATACAACTGAAAATTTAATATATCACCAGTTATCTCTTTTTTAGTCAACTCTTTCTGATGATTACCTGGATCAAAATTTTTTGCTAAAGAAAAACCATAACTACTTGTTGGAGAATTGTGGCCTATATAGTGGTTTGTCTAGAGATCAACCTGAGGTTTGGGGATTTCTCTAAAAAGGATGTTTGGCATGCAAGCCAGGAGCATTATTATACAAGATAACCAGCAGATGGTGCTCTTGTATAAAAAATCTTGGTGGAGTGTAAGTGGTGAAGCCTAACTTCATCAATAAAGCTGTTAGGTCATTACTTCAGTAGAAGAATACAGAGAAAACAACAAGAAGTTTTGCTCTTTCAACACACTCATTAGAAAAATTTTGAAAGTACTTGCAACTTTCTCTTCTTACTCTCACTTCTCTACTGGTC